TGATATATCATCATGTAAGCCATGCACAATCTGAGACCCAAATGAGGAAACCATTAGTCCTTGCACAGCGACGAAAAATGCAAAATGCGGGAAATGTAATAGTGGGTGAGTAGCGATATTCTGATAATATAAGAGTGATTCATTGCTGAGATTTTTTTTTACAAAGGGCTCGTTTTCATGAGAACTGAGGAATTACATTCATTTCGTTGAATTAATTTACAGGGGAAAAATGCGTGACTTCCAGTGTGCGAAAATGAATGAGCGCGAATCAGATTGTCATTCCCGTGTAATTTGTACTGGTAACCCTATTCCCCTCCATTTTAAATTCCTTGGCGCCAGCTCTAGTAACGCCAAATTTTTTGTCTGCCATTGCGTATTTTACTAAATATACCTTATTGTAAACGCACGTGCACAGGAGCTCCAGACATGTACACATTCTTTTGTCAAGAGAGGATAGGAAATTAACCGATACAGCAAGGCTTATATGAGGCTCGCCTCTTGATACGTAAATACGACGTGCGCACGCAGATAAGTCACTCCAACATTAGGCTACTGGAAGTTTTTCTTGTCCTTTTCAAGGGACACGGTCAGATTTGGGACCGTGCTTACCTGGACACTAGTTTTGCAACTTTGAAAGGGGTTTACCTCAACCATAGTTATTAGAGGAGACTGGTTATGAAAAGCGGCAAACATCAATGATAAAAACAACAGTGCTGCAGTTCATGTTCAAAGCACCGTGAAAGTGCACAATCCTTTGTTTTCTGTTGGCAAATTGTTACGGAATAAATTAATTCAACGTTTTTATTGGTCAATACAATCAAAATGATAGGAATTCTTTTGAACGTTGTGCACTTTCAGGTCCACAAAAACATATAACAAAGGAGTCTGACGGGTTTCATAACCATTCCACTCAATTAACTATGCCTCAACCCTGAATTAAATACTCGTCAAATACCCGTCTTCAGACCTGGCTTAGGCAGGAATCATGTTTTCATTACTTAGATTAGAACGCCAACAAAAAGGTTTTTTAAAATCCATCTCGAATTTTTCATTCATGAAACGACAAATGCGTTCATGCATTCCCTCGAAAACTAAACCCGAATTCAGACCAAAAATAGGCAAAGTCTAAACCTTTTTCAGACCAAAACGGCGCAAAAACCATACTCTGTAAGGCAAATTTAAGGGAGTACCCCCCAGAAATCAATATTTGCCGCATTGCCAACTTGCTACACTTCTGGCGTCTAGCTATAGTGCTCTGCACTTAGACGCCTGTGGAACTAGAAAAGTTTTTTACAGGAGAATCACAGTGTTCCGGTGAGGTCTTGGAATAAATACTCTGCAATTGGCTAAAATATGTTCCCTGTAGGAAATCTTCCTATCCAACGTAAATTCTAGAATCTTGAGAGTGGGCTTCACTTCGACGACCTCCATACCGTTGTTGTATAGGTCATACTTGTATCTATACGAACCCGAAAGATCATAGCTTGATGAGTCTTAGGCCTGTTTCAAACGTCGTGCTACTTCCGTGCTAAGCTGGCTCGACTGTAGCTTGCGATCGACTGTAGCTCGACTTTAGCACGACACCAGCTGCACCAGCACGACTTGGTTTCAGACGTCGAATTTAATTCAGTCGAATAGAGCGGCTGTTGCCGAAAACAAAACACAAAATTAAAGAAACGGTTTGTCAAACTTTTAAATGTATTCTAATGCATTTATAATTTATGAATTGAGTTTGGCACGGCAGTAGCGTGACGTTTGAAACCAAGTCGAGCTACTGCCGTGCTAAAGTCGAATTTAATTCGATCAATTTAGTTCGGCACTGCAGTAGCATGACGTTTGAAACGGGCCTTAGTTTTATTATGCATTTGAGAGTAAATTTCTCCCGGCTCTCTTACACATCGCGAATGTTCTAGAACTTGCTACAAAAGGGCAAATGGATTGCTAACCTACTACCTGTACTACCAAAGTTGTTGAAAAAAGAGGTAATCGTTGACCTTTTGAATTGAAATCTTAGCTACGTTCGAACAGTTTATAGGAAAAACTATCCGTTAAGGCGAAGTATTTCAGGGCTCCTGCTATTCCTGTGATTTGTTTCAAATGCTCTTCGGAATACACAGTCTTCCCAACAAAACCGACGCAAAAACAGTAACGTACAATAATGTACAACGAATAACAGACTGATTTTAAACAACCCGGGAAACAGTATCTAACAGCTACAAATAAAACAAAATCGTGGAATTAATTATTGTATCTATTAGTCCTAAGTGCATAGCAGTCTACTATCCTTTTCACGAGTGTAGGATATCTTTAAAAGACAAGTCAGAAAACATGCAAGAAATAGATAATAATCAAAATGAAATTATTCTCTTTCCACCCAGCTCTTTGTTTATAAAAGTCGCGCTGAAAGAAATTACATCAGCTTATGCAAATTTTTTATTGTTTGAAATTCATCAGCACAGGAGAATGAAAAGTTATCAAGCTATTAGCCTGCGTAGCAAGCGTTTCCGATCGAGTTATTGAGCGAAAGTTAGAGCGGAAGCAAAAAAAAGTTTGAAGGGGGAGGGGGAGGGGAGAAGAGGAAACCTTCATTCCCCTCCCCCTCCCCTCCCCCGTCATTCATTTTTTTTTGCTCTTGTCCCAGTTTTCTAGATGAACCTAGCGAGGAAACGCTTGCTACGCAGGCTATCAAGCTATGCCCTTATTGGTCATCTGCACTTCGAAATCAAAAGAATTAATGACAACGATTAAAAAATCTCGTGTTCAGCGGGAAAAGTGGCGTCTGTTCTAAGATACTTGTCCAAAATGTTGTGTCAATGTCAGCGTCCGCTCTTACCTAACATTTGCCGATGATATTTCCTCAACGTTATACTTGTGCAATATACACTTAAATTATCTTTGTCAGAGGAAAAGGACTTAGAGGATTTTTCGTCTTTAGGCTTTCTACGGATTCCCGGCTTTCCAACTGTTTTAGTACTGGGTAACTAAAAGAAAAAAAAACCCGCGAAAGAAGACAATTCGATCAATTTTTTGGGACTCAAGTGAGCTTATGCATACTTTTGGACTGACTGAGAAAATATTATTTCTGTACGTACCTCCTTACAGATTGGCGCCACGTTTTGTTCTTTCCCCCGAAAGTCTGAAATTCGGGAAACTTGATCTGCTGTTATCATGTTATAAACACTTAATCGATCACGACTGTATTTATGCGAGTTTATGATATAGGGAGAATATATGAATTAGTTCAATCTATAGGTGACGGTAGTATTTTCACGTGACCGTTTCTTTGTGTAAACTGTTCATCTCAAAGAAACGCCGTTTAGTCGGGTCATTAACTGCTATTATTTGTCATTTTTCCCATTTCCGGTTATTTATTAACTAGTTAAAGAAAACTTTCAATTCACATTTTTTTCAACTCAGCTTGTCCAAGCACCGAAGAGTTAAATAGCCTATAACCTTGTGATATGATAACGAATGTTTTTACCAGTGTCGTGGCTGAGACAGTTCATGAAGTATGAAAGATGTCGTCATCAAAATCTCTGCATTCCGCAGATTCTGAGCGTGGGGGGTTTTTTCCCGTATTTTTGAGCCAGACAAATAGTTTGTCGAATGTTTTTAAATATAGAGAACTTACGTTCCTTCTTCTCATCCGAGGGAATTGTTTTGTTAATTCGCTGCTTCTATAGAGACGTTCCTCCTCAGGAGACTTTTGGTGAGTAAAGGTCAGCAGCAGCCATTATTTCTTTACTCGCCCTGCCTACTACGTGAGGAATAGACTTAGCCTTGCTTCATCCGTTTCCTCTTGCAATGTCATCAGGGACACCCAACGACAATTTTCGGAAAAATATCTGTTCGGAAGACGATTTGAGATCTAGAATTTTCGGAAAATTTGTTGTAAAATTTCTTGCTTGCCTGCCTCTCCTAGGATTTTTGAACATCCAAAAAATGGTATCTTTGCCTATTTTTAACGGATTTTTACCCTAAAAAGGTCACCTAGAATTTTCGGAAGCCTCTTTTCTGGCTGAAATTTTCGAAAACTTGGTAAGTTTTGATCCCTATAATTTTCGGATCACTAGACTTTCAGCTAGGAAATCCGAACAGATGAAAAATTTTTAGGGGATAAAAATATGCCTATATCTACCGTTTAAATACTAAAATACGTTTAACAATGCTATGTTTAAGTGGTTTTGAACTATATTCGCGTTGGGTGCCCCTCAAAAGAAAATTTAAAGCTAAATAAGCTAAATTGCTTAGGGAGAGAAAATTTAGTTGTGCGCGTAAATTTATATCCGCAAAATTTGATTGGACATCTGTAAAGGCAGGCTTTATGTAACTTTGTAAGATAAGAACATTTTCGCCTCGATGTCTTTCTCGAAGCACAAGAGAAAAATCAACCGCTTTCTGTTCTTCACGAGCCTGTATTAAGGATTTTTTTTATTGTAGTACAGCAATGCATGTTAATACATATAGTTAATAAATGCAAATTTACATTTTAGATTTATAGCGTTCTTTTGCATAGAAATCTGCTCCAAAAATAGGCCACCTTCAATGGAGCTGCGTATATCTGTGGTTTTCAAACGTCATTGCAGTGCCGTCAATGGGCTCTGCTTTTGTTCCCTTCACAGATGCTGACTATTAAAAAATTAGAATCAATCAGAAGCTATATTGGGTGGTCACACCGCAGATTGCAGTCATGTTGCACAGACTTTAAGTAATTTCATCGAAGTGAACAGAATCTTTGTTCAGTACTTATGCCAAATCAGACACTCAGGTGTCCTGAAAAAAAAAAAACAAAAAAACACTGCAATACCAGCTTGGATTAAACCTGGAGCCCGTCGCCTTTTCTCCTGACCCGACTGACTGCCCCTGGGTCTCCGAGGATGGCAGCAATACGGACAACAATTATTTTAATCGCGTCTTTGTATTAGACGGATAAAGTAGGAAAAAGATAAGTTCCTTTGGAAGCCGCCAATTTGGTTAAGTAATATAAAAATACAAACCTCCTTTTCCAGTAAAGGGTTCTCCTGTAGTCCCCGGATGACAAGCCGGTCGATCTCTGTCATTCTCGGCGGCATGGAGAATACCGCCTTGAACGTCTTAGGAACGACCACCTGACGTAGAAATACAGAGTACTGAGTTCAAGGGTCGCTTTAGCGCCGTTTTCCACTCGCCAATTCCTGAAAGCTAAGACCTTAACTTAAAAGGGTCAAAAACTTACTTCACTGACCACTTATAATGATTAAAACGTGATTTTTACAATTACCACTTTATTACAGCCATATTGCAATCGCAAAATTCAGTCAGTATTAATATTTTATTGATCAAGTTGCCGGTTTGTTGAAAAGCGGGAAAAAAGGCTTTTACATCGCATTTTGTATTCGAAACAGAAATGATGCGATATTGAGTAAAAAAAAAAATGGTGCGATTTTAAAACAGATCAATGATGGGATTTAGAACAGATGTGTTTTAGAGCCAAAAAAATAGTGTGATTTGTGAATAAATCACACTGTTGAGAACCAATCAGACTGCAGGGATCACTAGTGATTTCAAAATGGATATAACAAATATGTTTCTGATGATGATTACAGGTATGATGATGATGATGACTATGATGATTAAGATTACAATTATGATTATGATTGTACAGCTACCACGGTTAAGATTATGAATAATTATGAAAATAGTTAAATGCTTTGAGACCCTCTTTACAATAACGGTTATGGAATTGGTTATGATATTGATTATGGTTTTGATAGCGATTTCTTGTAGGTTTCGGGGTTTGAAATATGGTATTGCCAGCAAAAATTCCACAGTAAGAAAACCTTTCGGTAACAACACCTATACACACTGTAAACGTACTCGTAAATTGGTAAATTGGCATTGGCAAAGAACTCTCCATCAAGGATGAACAAGTTTTTACTTTTACAACAATGTATTTAGAATCATACTATCACTGGTATGCTGTGTGTGCAAAGAACTAGAAATGTTTCCCAAAGATGGGACTTTATTACTGAATAACTACCACATTAAAAAAAAAAAAAATGAAGGGAACCACCAAAGTTAATATAGAGTAAATCCTTAAAGTAAGCAATAATCTGCCTGATAATATTACTGACATTTTTGCAATTCAATATGCAAACTAACTGCACTTAATCTCAACTTTAAATACAAAAATCACACTAACCTCGAAAACAAGAACTCCCCAGCCATTGCTTTTAGACCATGAAAACTCTAACTGAGGATACATGGTCTTGAATTCTTTTAAGGCATTTGATATTTCGCTAATGAAAGGTGAATAAAAAAGAAATGTCATGAACATGTCATGAATACACTTCTTAGAAACATGTGCTGACCTTCTCTTTTGCTTGTTTTATGGACTGAGCCATCTTGACCTAAAAGCTAAGTCAGTTACGGGTTACGTCGTTTACAAAAATCAATTCATATCCCGTTGATTAGTACTCAATCGATTAATAGGTACCCACACAGTGGACACAGCCTCGTTCCCAATCTTTGACTTTGGGTGGAAAATGTATTTATTTGGCACTTTACATGAGCATTTTATTCAATACCATTTTCACGCATCACAATAATGGTGGTGCTTTTGAACATTAAACATTTTGCATAACCTTTAGCTAAATGCATTTCAAGCACTGGTATGTGGCAATTATTTATGACATTCTAGTGAAAAAGATGTATGACAGAACATTCCTTACCTTTTTACATTGACCTTTCGCTTTCTTTGCTGCTGAGGCTCCATCTGAGCTTTGAACTGCTGAAGGATGATGTCGTTTTAGGCATGATAAAGCCTGCTGTGCCTCTGAAGTCAACTGATGAAAACATTATATATGAAACAATGAATATACGAATTTCACATATAATTGGAACAGAGGGATGAAGAAAGAAATGCAAAGAAGATCCATGCACTCTTGCGGTTTAAGACACAACTTCTGCAGTTGGAAAAAGAAAGCCATCATTTTGAAAGTGGAATCTGAACTTTGGTCAAAACCAACCTTAAATAGAGGTTAAATTTGCTGCTTGCTTAATATCAGAAATTTATATATAATTTACTAAACATATAGGGCCAAATATTTTAATAAAGTCTAACTTAAGCAACGGTTTACCGAATATTTGAAACTCCAGATCTCTTCTTTGGTGGGTTGTTTTAAGAAGATAAATGCTTTTCCAGTCTTCTCTAAATGCTTTCATAAAACTGTTCACAATAAATGATGTTTAGATAAAACTGTTGGGCAAATTGAAAATTAGTTACAGTGTGGTTTTGTTACAAGGCCTTTTCACAATGAGTTTTTTTGACAAAAACTACTTAATAATCCACCCAGTGTTTGTTTCCTTGAGTACGTTGAGACCTTTTTACTACTTTACTAATAAAAGTACAAAATTTACATGTAATTAAGTAGAACTTGCTAGGATTAATTACTAATTTGAATAAGAGGGCAAAAACAAAGTGAATCCTGGTTCATGTAGTTGTCATCAAACAACGTCATC